TAAGAAGGCATATTCCAGTTTAGTTTTTGTCTTGGGCATTTTAAATTGAAAAAAGCCTTTCTCATTCTGGAAAAAAAAGGATCGAAGGCAATATAATTAAAGTTATAACAGTTATGCCAGTAAAAATGGTGAAACATTCCAGTGGAGACAAGCTGTGATCTCTCTTGGACAAAAGCAGAGCAGGAGTGAGTATGTAGGTGGGTGAAGGAGGAAAGGTCAGCTTGGCCGTTAGAAACCTTTAAGGCCCAGTGGGTTTCTGCCAGCTCAGTTTTGCTTGTTAGTACATGCTTGTTTCTTTGATGCAGTTCTTGGACTGGAATATAGGATCAAGTCTTGACAAGAGTGTACAGTAGTTCTGACAACACCAAGCCTGGGCTAGAAAGGGACCTGCTGTAAATACCACTACATGATGATGGAGGCTGGGTACAAAAATTGGACTACTGGTTTGTTTGAGGAATGGCATGTCCTGGGTTTCTGTATGAGGGCAAAGCACTTGCAACTACCCAGGCTTGCCTGGGAGAAGAAAGTAGCTGGCAGCTGTTCGAGGACAGGTCTAGTGTGAAGGCCCTTTTTACAGATCATCAGCTAGAATAATGTCTATCACAAAAATGTTGAATGCAGCTGGTCATTTCCAGGCTGCAGGTACTATAACTTAAGAGCTGCCTGGCTGGTTCTTCCTGTTGCTGTTCAACTTTAACAACAAACCTTCCTCTGTTGGAAGAGGCAGAAGAACAATGAGTACCTTGAAGGGAACCTGAACACCTGGGCACTGATGATAATCTTCCCCCTGATGATCATGTGTGGGGTTAAGGATGCCCCAAGGACTAATGGGTTTTCAGTTGGTGCCATTTTGCACTCACAATTTCAGCACACCCTCCTGTGTGTCTTCATTAGAGCTTCATTGCACTTCTCTTCCAGAGACCCAAGGATACCAAAAAGCTTGTCTGAGTCTATCCCAACCATGCAGTTTGTCCAGTAAAAGATAGCACCCACAAACATTCTAGATCTTAATTAAAACAAGCAAGTTTAAAACTCCAACATCCTTTTCTCTTTTCTTGTCTTCCCCTCCCTACCAGTGCTGCCCCTCCCTTGGAAAAGCAGTGCTAGTCACGGAGTCCAGCAGGGGTTACGCTGTTTTTAGCAGCCTCTCTCCTTGCCTGTTCTATCTTGCTGTCCTCCTGCATTGTGCAGTTAGTTAAAGAGATTCGCTCCTAATTAAATTATTGCAATTCTTGGCCAGATAAGCAGTGCCCGGAACACTGCAGCACAATTCACCCAACAAACTGCTCCCCCTTCCCACCCCATGACTCCTGTTACTCATCCATCTTCAAATGGAATTGTACTGCGTTTGATAAGCGACCATGGATGAGACAAGCAAGACAAAACTGCAATAGGGAACAGATAATGGGCAATAAAAGAAAAAGGCATTTTGGCTAGCCAGCAGGGATGTTACCAGCTTGTCTATGCTGGTCGGCTGCATGGCTTTTGGAAAGCATTTCTAAATTTAGAACCGAGTTCTTTTCTAAGGTGATATTAACATTTCCAGAACAATAAAATAATTAATTCCCTAGTAATGGAAGTATAGATATAGGAAATATCCATTTAAGTGGGTGAGAGCAGCAAGGAGATAACCTTAAAGTCCCTGGGCTGTGTCAGTATTCTGATTACTCTGATTAATGTGCAGTGCTTGGTTGCCCTTAATATTTTATATATTGGAAGAGTACATTTAAAAAATAAATCAAGTGGTACTCTCCAGAGTAGGCAGCAATAACCAACCCCTGCATTAAGCCTGTAAACTAGGCAAATGTAAACAGCATTGCAGCCTTAGCCCAAGGTCAAGGAAATGCTTGCCTAGCTGAAAAGATGAACCTTGGAGTCAATTTGGCTCTGGCATGCCATTGGTGGAAATGCCTCCCTGAGCTGGAGGGAGGCATCCACAGAGAGCTCTTTCAAAGAGGTCCTGTGTCTCTCCCCTCAGAAAACCCAACCAGCAAGATACTTATCCTGAAATTCTCTCTGGATGCTCTTCTGGATTCATCAGCTTGAGAAGTGTGGTTGCGGGGAACTGCAGGCAGTTAAACAAAAAGACAAGTGGGAAGAGTAAAGTCCAGATTCCTTCCAGCTAGTCTAATCTCTGGCAAGAGTTTACACACAGATACACACAGGATTTTTCACCCTTCTGTTTTCACCCTTTTGAGTCTTTAGTAGGGAGATCCAGATCAACCCCTTCCAGCCTCTTGGAGACAGGAGGAGAGTGAGGAAGGAAGAAAACTCAGCTGGAGGAAAGAGGGTCGTTTTCAGCAATGGGAGAGCTGCTGAGCTATACTGGAAGGTACACAGCAGGGATGGGGAGGAAAAAGCTGGCAGTGGAGACGCATACCTAGAGCAAAGAGAGGCTGGGACAACAAGAAAAAGGGAGGGGCAGCTTAGGGAGAGTCTGGTGGGAGCTAGAGAGAGATGAGGTGTGAAAGTAACCTGGATGGCGGACCACTGCACTCTCCCCGCCTGCACTTGCCTCCTGCTGTTTTCAAAGGTGGATCAGAAATTCTGGAGCATGTTATCTCCCTAAAGAGCAAGGAAATATTAGAGAAGAGATGGGAGAGAGAAGGGGAGGCAAAATCACTGGATGCTGCCAGGAACTTTCATTCCCTTCATTCCCTTCCCTGTCTAGAAATGACAGAAGTGTGCTGCTCCCTCCAATGCAATGCTGCTAGAACTCTGCTCTCTGTGAAATAGAAGAGAGGAGGGAAAGGAAGGGAGGAGGCAGCTGAGCCCAGCAAGACAGAGAGAGGGAATGTGAAGCCTGAAGAAGCTGCTGGCCACTTTGCTCAGAAAGGATGCAGCTCTCCAGGGCACTTGGGGTCCTGGTGGTTCTCCTGGATTTGTTACCCTGCTTTGGATGTCTGGAGGTAGGAGATTTTTTAAATCTGATTGTACAAAGTCATGTGGCTTTTTACTATCCTCTGTGCAAACAGAGCTTGTACATAGTGAATTTTCTTTCTAAGGGGTCTAAGCTGCTCCTGTCCCTGGACTGGGGGCATTAGTGTGGGAGAAAGGAAATTTATCACATTTTGCCTATGAAAATGCATTCTCAGAACCCCAAAGAATAACTGAATCTGTGCATGGTGCACTGGGGCTGACAGATGCTTTGGCTCATGTTTTCCATGTTTTCCAAGCACTGCGGTGACCCTGGCAGGAGGGTCTCTTTGTCTCTGTCCACTGCTGATCAACTGACTGTTCCTGCTGCTGTTGTGTACTGATGATTTATAGCCACATGGACCTGGTGCAGGGATACAGGACAGGCTATTTATTCATAATGAGGTTCAAATTTGGTGGTGGGGGTGGGGTCGATCTCACTGAGATGACTGTCAGTGATTACTCTTTTCTGAGAGGACAGCAGGGGGGAGCATATCATTCCAAAGGTTTGAATTCCTGTCCCTTCGTTTGCAGTTAAGTCTCTAAGAAGAACAGAACCAGTTCTCCACATGATTTGTTATTAATCCAGCCTATCACACACCTTCCATGCATGCTTGCATATATTATTTTAGCTGGGTGCTGGGAGACCTGGGTTCTGTTTCATGACCTGTCTTGCTGTGAGTTCTTGGACAAGCACAGATGTCATGTAGCTCAGGTGGCCCATGTCTCTATAGAGTGCATTAAGCTCTTCAAATTGATGTCACTCTGAATGGGCCAATCACTGTTGGTTTCCCTGCTGTGTAGGCTCAGCACTGTAAAGTGTACAGAGGAGAACCCCTGGTGAATGGAGTTTACAAATCTAGCTGCTGTTTTACTCATGCTCATTCTCTCACTCACATGTGCAAGTCATCCCAGCTGATCTGACAATTCTAAACAGGTTGTGGATTTGTTTCCAAGTTAGCATTTCAGGTACTGTTGTTCTGGGAGATCTTGGCACTTTCCCATTGTTGGCAGCCCCTACAGAACCAAATTCACCGTTAGTATTAGCAGGTTCAGAGTCAATGGGAGCCGCCCCTGCTTATTGCAGAGATGGTCTATAGGGTTTAATACAGCAAATAATTAACATTGATTCCAAAGTGTTCTCTTCCTTTCTTTCAAGAGAGATGAAACTAATAGGAGAGCATTTTAGCTCCAAAACTGTGTGAGAGAGCAAGAGAGAGAAAGAGAGAGAAAGTAAACAAAAAACTGTTCCCTCTGACTACATCTCTCTATGTACAGAGGACCCTGTTCTGTTAAGAAGAAATTGTTGTTCAGGTAAAAGCTCCTGGTTATTTAAACACAAACTGAAGCATGAGGAACTAACTTCAATATATGCTGTTTGTTCTCTTGACTCAATGGGCCACTGTTCTGGGAAGGAATTTCACCTGCATGCAAACCTTGTAAGCACTCCTCATGGTAACAGACCGGAGATCTTTCTCTCAGTCATCAGAAAGGCTTTGCCTGTACCATTGAATGCAGCATGGGATATCTCAGGACTCTGCATCATATATCTCATGCTGGTTCTTTGAAGTCAGGCTCTATTTGGGTAATTGGGCTTAGAGTGGCAGCAGAGCAGCTGGCAGGTACAGGCCAGCCCTGATGAGGCAGTCACATGACCACAAGAGGGCCATGTGATTGGAGGAGGGGGCTGATTAGCTTCCATTTTAACTCAGGCCCTCAGGGCTCAGCTAGCAGTCTGCTGTTGGCAGCCAGAACACCACCTAGCTGAGTGCCTGCTCAGCACATCCTTGGAGGTAAGGGCAGGATGCTCCTGGGCCTGGGGTATGACTGAAAATGATGGTCCTGGAGTAGCATGGAAAATGTGGAGTAGCAAGGAAATGCCATGCCAGTTGCCCCCACAGTGAAAGGCGAGCAAGGGGTACCTTATAGCCCTAGCCCCCACGACTTAGTAGGTAGTAGGGAGGCAGTGGGACCAGGCACATCTTTGGACACCCGAGCCTGTGGGGTGGAAGACTCCAAGGCCCCAGGGAGGAGGCAAGGAGTTGCCCCAGTGACAGGGCAGAAGAATGGCCCCAGCAAGGGGATGGAGTGAGGAAACAGGCTGCATAGATTCAGGCCACAAAGGCAGCCTGAAGGGCTGCGCAGTATTGGTGCAGAGTAGGGCTGCAGGGGGCGACCTGAAGGACTGCACTGGGGGCATGCAGAGTAGGGCTATAAGGTTGGCCTGAAGGTCTGTGTATAGGCCAGCCCCACAAGCAGTACAGGGAGTTAGCCCCAGTGAGGGGTCATGAGTTAGTGCCCCAGTGTTGGGGCGTGAGTGAGTGAACCCCAGTGAGGGTGCATGAGTTTGGAGCCCAGTGTGAAGGCACAGTGACTGTGAGCTCCAGGGGGGGAGTGAGAGTCCCATGTGAGACTCTGGAGCATGGGTTAGTGTGAGGCACTGTACCAATATGGATGCCATCTATGAGGCATGGGACACAGTACAGGGAAGGTCGGAGCCGTGTATAATGCCCTAGACATCGGGGCATGTAATGGGCAGCCTCCCATATTTTACAACAGTTATAAAACAGCAAAGCGTGGCAGGCGAATGAGGGCAGACTGCCCTAGACAGGTGGGCAGGCCAACGTTCAACTGGCCTAGTGACGGCCTCCTGTAATATTGTGCTGTCAGTGGTCACAGTAATATTGTACTGTCAGGTGTTGTAGGAAATTGCTATCCTTCTTCAGGCCCTGAAATGTTGGCAGCAAAATCCTAACATCTTCAAATAGATGTTTAGCTTTTTGGTATGGGGGCTTTTCTTTGAATTTGAACAACCATCCCCAAGGTGGAATCTCTCCTTAGATGAACAGTCCCCCTGGGAACCATCTCACTATTATGGCCCCAGCAGGCTGCTATTCTATGCTCTGAAAAGGGAGTGAGCTAGAAACTCCTCGTACTTTGTGTGGCTACACCAATTTCTATCAGACTTTCCCTCACATACCTTTCAGTCAAGCCCCCATTTTTTGAATTCCTACTCTACCTGCTCATGCTGCCCCTGCTCCCCTAGCATGGGATTAAAACCCATGAAAATGGCAAGCAACCATTTAGTGTGGTGCTTGTGTGAAGGGTAACCCTCTGCAGTCCAGTAATTACTCATATTGTTTATGGACAGAGATTTGACTGATTTGTAACCAGAGTGATGGGAAAATCAGGAAAAAGGCTCATTACTAGGGCGTTTCCCTGGAGCAGCTGGAGGCCAAGCAGCTTTCAGGACATGCCCATGTTTATTTCATCAGATAATCATCTCTCTGCTTTTGCTTTGTTTCTTTTCCCAGACTCTCCTGGGATCCCAGCCCAGCCAAAACCATTTGCAGAGTGCAGGTAAGAACAAGAACTTACTAATTCAGTCATCAGTCAAATTCCTCACTGCAGCACTAACCCAAGACTGCAAGTACAATGAAGACTTGTGGCCTGCTCTCCTCCTGTCTTCCCATCATTTTTTCCATCTTGAGATCTCTTGTGTGCCTAGGTCTCTGTTTTCTTTCCCTCCTCCCTTGAATTTCCAGATGCAGCAGACATGAAAGAAAAAATATGAAATTATCTCTTCCTCCCATATTCTCTCTCTCTTTC